ACGGCTCCGATTTCGGAGTCCCCGTCTGGTAGTGGTTAATTATGTTGATCACTCAGGTAGCTACATGTATCTATTCAATAATGGTCATGTTTATGCCCTGCTGACCAAGTTGAAGGGGCACAATGTTTCTGCTTTGTCCTTCTTTGAGTAGGTGTTTTAGTGTGTGCTGTCTGGAATATTCTTGTTAGCGCAGAGAATTATTTTGCGGATGAACTTTAAATTTGGTTTGAGGATTACTTTTGATCCTAAGAAACCTTTTGGGGCTAAAAGCTCACTTCCTCAACTTTAATTTTCCTTGCCATTTTCTGTGGCTTGACCAATGGCTTTTGAATAAATTTCTCTCCAAATTAAATTCACCCCTCATAACAGTCACAAGGTCCAACCATTTTGAAAATCGATGCTTACACTCCATTGCAAAATAGCACGATTTGGAGGGCCTCGTTTGTCTGATACTTTCAGAAATGCAAGTTGGAAGTCCTGCTGGTAGATTCCATTCTCTTTTCCAAACCATCCAGTCCAAATGCTTTAATAGTTTGACAGCCTACAAATCGCAATTTGGTCCATGCGGGCTATTTGGGCCAGTTTCTAGCCTGCAGTCTTTAGGAAGCCTATTGCATTTGGAGTCAAAGGTCAAGGTCACAGGGACTAAAACAACAGCATGATAGCTTGAGAATACGTCAGGAACTTTAGATTTGGCTTGTGCATTCTTTTGGGTAATCTTATACAAGCCTATTGCTTTTAAACATGAAGGGCAAGGGTTAAGATTACAATGGCTAGAAAAATGAAAGCAATTCTTGTTATGAGTCAAAAGGTTAAATTTGTGGGTTTCAGGCATGGGCATGTCACCGCTGTGTATTTTTTCATGGGCAGGGCCTTTTTCTTAATAGTTTTTTCAGTAATTTGGAAAATCCTTTCAGCTTTGAAATTCAGTGAAATGAAGGTATATATATATATGTTTTAAAACTCAAAGGTTCATTTTGATTGTCGCCAGTCTTTAATGGTGACACCTGTTCACTTTGAGTGCTGCTGTCTCGCCAGTCTTTAATGGCGACACCTGTTCACTTTGAGTGCTGCTGTTTTGGAATCTTGGTCATTAGGTACATGACTTTGATGAACTCTTCATTCAGTTTGAGGTATAAAGATCTCAGAAATGTTGTCTAGGCTGGATGAGTAGTGTAAATAATAATTCAACAGAGAGACATGTATATTTATCTAGAGTATGCACCTGTAATGCCAACATGAACAGAAATGTACACTGACTTTGACAATAATTTAACTAGGTCCATGTATCTGGTGATATATGAACAATTTCCAATAACTCTGAATATACTTATATGTGTATTTCTACAAATGTGTACGTTATTTAATGTATCAGGAAAAGTTAGAATTATATCATGTAGACAAGCACAAGAGGAACATATGCACTTCCTTTCAATTTGTCTTATTGTATTTTGTGCAAAACTGGTTGTGAATAAATCTTTGTACACACTGTGTTTGATCAAATGACATCTCTGAGTTTTTGTTTGTGTGTGTTACAGTCCCCACATGGCATCCATAAGTGGTATTTACATTTCAAAAATGCTGTCACTTTCACATTTTCAATTCCTTTAGAAAATATTGGTAACATGTTGCTGGGGCTGTGGGGTGACTTGCCTTCCCTTTCCTGTAGGTACCGGTACGCCACTATTGATGTTTAAAATGATTGTTGGGTCAAAACCCACAGAGAAACCTGAATAGTTCATGTTTGGTGTTTTATGTTTTTATCTCTCTATATACTGTGGTATAAAAAGAGTATCTGGTCATTAGTGGAACGTTGACCCTGTCTCCATTTCTCAGCTTTTGGTCACTGGTACTGTCCAGAGTGCCAAGGCGGTGGAATGATATTCAAAGTGGAGGGGTCATCTGTGACACCCACATGGATCAGCAATTAATATGATGATACATTAAGCCCCCCCCATCAAAAAAGTCGGGGGTCACTCCTCTCCCTTCTGCTGCCAGTGCCAGAATGGAACTTTCACCTGGGGCTACCTGCTTGGGAGGTAGCATGACCTTTATCTTACGACTGATCCAATATTGCAAAATTCTGTGCCTTATTACTAAGTTACTGGCACTTTTAACTCGGCCGCCAAATTATGCATGAAGTCCAATCAAATGTAGTGCTAGAATTCGAGATGGGGCCAAGACTTGAACCTGTCATTTTTAGGCTTACAGGAGGAAACTCTCCTCACTGCAATAGCAAATCCGCGATGGACTTTGCTTTGGGGCCAACCTGCTGCTGGCGATGACCACATTTTAATCTGAAGAGTGTATAGGGTGGGTCATGTTTATGATGGAAACATACGGTGCACATGTACCTTTTCTTTTGGACATGCGAAACTCTCTTTGCCTTCGTACTCTAAATATTTATTTGAACCAGTACAAGTGTGTTGAAATGTAATTTACAGGGCATACAAAGATAGCAAATCTTGTGGTTTTATTGTACAATGCTAACTGTAAATGTGTAACAGTACAGCCGTACTTTCATTTCATGGGGTAAAAGGAAAAATTAAAAGTAGTAGAACTCAATGTGAAAACCTTGACAGTTAAAACTAAAATAGAAAAATTAATGTCTGTTATGTGTAGAATATGTAGACAATGCATGATTCATGAAAAATACAAAATTCTGGTTTTCTGGGAAAGAATAAACAGTCAATCGACATTTTGGGTCATTGAGGTCACACTTGAATATAATCGTAAACATACTTTTTGTGCATCTTTTTGTAACTGCTTGTTCAGGATTGCAACTGCAATTTAGCGGTAAATCCAATTGTTCAAGTAAATGGAAAATGTATGACATGCAGACATCCTAGGCAGTTAACAATCTCTGTTGTTTCAATTGTTTACGCACATGTATTTTTATGTGGGCAACTGGAAATAATAAAACCAGTTGGGATTTTTGCCACATTTTGAAACAAATAAATGGACCTAAGCACAGTGATATACAATGAATTTTAAAACCTGTTAACTCCATTGAAAATTCAAGAGCTAATCATGTCAGCGTAAATATATCTGTGCATCTGCAAAAGAAAAACTTTGGGATTAATTTCATGAAAACCAATGAACCTGTCAATCCATTTAAATTAAAAGTAAAATTAATATTTCTTTCACAATCTCTGCAAAAAATGAAATTTTGTAAGTCTGCACTGGCATAAGTACACGTATGTCATTTCTATGCTAGCTGCATTGGGCATGATCAGAAGTCCTGGATCATTTCTCCTGACACAAACACCACAATTCAAGTAAAGTTCCATAGCAAATTCAGAAAAGAGTACTAACAAGTAAACACAGGTAATAAATGTAGGTATTTTACACCAGATCTATGAACAGGAATTTCTTATCTTTCAAAAATGGACTTTCTAACAGTTATGTTTACTCTGCAGCCTTCAAACAGATGGAAAGCAAAAGATGAAACTGTAAATTGAATAATAAAAACAAATTTCTTCAACCAGAAAAAAAACCTCACGAAAATGTATTTTCTTACCCAATAACCACAACATGTATTTGTTTTCATTCATAGCTTAGATGAAAACATGTTGATTCTTTTTAATTTCCAGCTTCGGTTTCGTTGATGCACAAGCATAACAAGTCAACTGTTTCACCATTTAAATACCTTGATCAAATCATACAGCAATTTTGGTGATCACTGGATACTGTAGCCATTGGTCAGTTGGCCAACGTAAGATTTACTTTATGTAAATATTTTATATAAAATTTAGCAAAAAAAGCTCTTGTGATCAACAGATGGGCAGGATGTTCAAAACAGACATCAAATCATCCACCAACTAGTCAGCTGCACCAACTCCAGTGGATGTTGCTGTAAATCGTAGATACATGTATCCAGTTAATCAATTTATCCCTTTTTGTGATTTTTACACCTTACGTGGATCTACCAGAAAGTCACTGAATTCACCTGAATATATGTTGATTCATCTGCTGTCTGCTAAACTGCATGGAGTTGATCAACTTGTCTTTAGATCGACTAGCTGAACAATTAATCAAGATCCCTCAACAAGCCAGTCAATCCACTTGTAGCTTAGTTGATCCAATCAAAGAAGCCAATTTCAGTCAGATCCTTGCGCAAAGCTTCGATGTCTTCTGGGCTCATCTGTGACAGCGGTGGTCTAGGCGGACCAACATCGAATTTTGCCAGAGTCATGGTATATTTTAGGGTCGCAAAGCCTGCAATTTTCTCTGCACATTCAAACCAAAAGAATTTACAAGACAAGAGAGATATTGATATTCAAATCTTCATGGATGGTACCATTTTACATACCTCCTAAAAAGGAGCAAATTTCTAATACATTAGTGCTCCCCTTCTCATGTGGGGAACCTATCAAGCAATACTTTGCATAACAATATGACTTCTCGCCTTTTCTGCTCAGCACAGAAAATTTTTTTGTGATCAGCATATGGGAACCTACAATATGTACCCATGCTAGAAACACCTCAGTATGGATACATTACAAACAGGTTCAAAAATTGAGGATAACTTGCAAGTAAAACAAGAGATTGGCAACCTGTACTGAAATTGGTTAAAACAAAGTTCTGGAAAACTTACCGTATCTGTTCATGACATCAAGGAAAGCATGAATCCGGAACTGAAAAACAGATTAAACAATATTTTCATCATCCTCAAAAAGAAATGCTCAACTCTCACTTAAACGTATTATGCTGAATTTTTTGTGCACAATGCACTCACCTTTTTTAATCAAGCAATGAGTGTTTAGATTTAGAATGGTAGAATCCATGAAACGTCTGACCTAAAGAGTCAGTACCCCTATCCAAATAACAGCTCTGAAATAAATTGCGGTTGGAAAAATGCAATATGTCTAAAGATAACTACTGAATACGAACCTGTTCTGCTCTTGCCCGCTCCAAATCTCCTGATTCATATGCTTCAATCAGTCTAGTAACCACCTTCCCTGCAAAACTAAATATGCTGCAGACAAGATAAAGTGCAAAATATTTCCATACTAATTTGTAGGAAAAGGGAACAATATTAATTTTGAACCAACATCTGTCACCTGGATTCACACTCTGGGTGGTACAACGCATTTGAGTTCAGCAAAGCTGAAAATCCTCCCCCACAGTAGTGTGGCAGAGTCCGCTAGGGAATACCTACCCAAACAGTCACTACATTTGTAAATTTCCTTATACGCCTTTTGCCATTTGCTAAACCTTGATCAATTGTAGTGTGTCCTCTAGTGCTATGACGCGGTGCTCGCCGCTGCCATGTTCGTCCTTTGTCAGCGCACAGGGCCTGAGCCAGAGTGGGAAGGACGGGCGGGAGTCGACTGTCTGGGTAGGTATTCTCAAGCAGACTCTCCCACACTAGCCATGGGGGAGGAGGCCACTGAGCTGAACCTACCCAAACAGTCGTTACATTTGGTGAGTAGCACTGTACCCAGGGGCAGGGTTGGCGAAGGCGTACTGATTATGAGAAAGTTTGATTAGTGTCTAGAATATCTTGAAGAAAAGGGAGAAGTGATGAAGACCCAGCAAAAGAGGGGAGCAAGCTATCAGACAGATCTGGGACAGATTAAAGTATCGGTGCCGAGGATAGGACCGTCTTGCCATGGGAGAAGTCTCCTTGCAAGACATTGCTCAGGTAGCTTGAGGTCAATGTTGAGAGTGTTTTCCAGCATGCTGCCCTGCAGACATTCTCCATTG